CCGGAGGGCCGGCCGGCAATGCCGCGCCGGACCCCAGGAAGGCGGCGGCGGGGCGGATCTGACCCCCCTTGTGCTCCAACACGACCCCACGCCACCCCTCTCCCCCTACGACGACCGCCTCCTGCCGGCCTGATGGGGCTGCGGGTGCCCTGGGCGTGCTGGGCGGCCGGATCCGCCGTCCCTCGTCGGCTTGCCCCCCGCACGACTCCAGGCGTGCTGCCCCTCCCCCGTCCTCGTGCTCTTTCTTCTCTAGGTCGTCGCGGGCGCTCCCCCTCCCAGCTGCTGCCCGTCTCCTGCCGGCGCGGCCCAGTCTGTCGCTGGTGCTACTACCGGCCGCGTTTGGGTGCGGGATTTGCGCCTGTTTTGCGGGATCACACAGCCTGCTTCGGCCTGCCTCGCGTTGACTCCCTCTCCTTCGGCCCCTCCTCCCCCTCGAATCATGGTGACGGCACTCGTGCGGCGGTGGTGAGGCTTCAGTGGTAGCGGCTGGCGCGTGCACCTCGCGGCGGGCGTTTGTTGGCGTTGCTCCGGCCCCGGTGGCCTCGGACCTGCGTTCTCCGGTGTCCTTAGCTTGTCGGTGTTCTCTGTCGGGCGGATCCGGCTGTGGCAACCAGCGGCTGCGTTCCTTCCAGCTCACTTGGTTTGCTGTTGACCCGACGGCTCTGGCCACGACAGCTTGGATTTGCGCCCTCCAGTCCTAGCTTGTCGGCGTTGTCGGTCGCCATCGCCTCCCCTCGCGGTGGTCCTTGCTTCGTTGCCAACCCTACTCTGTATGCCTTAAAACTTACCCCTTTTGCCAGAACCGTTGCTCGTAGGTCCGGAGGCGGTGCCACCCACCAACGGCAGGTGCAGCCCCACCACCCCCTTCGGCTTGGTTTCGGTCAGCATTGGCTTCCTCGTCTTCAAGGCCATATTTGGCGGCTATGGGATTGCTCGGCTCAGGCCAGGGAGAAATCCCTGCTCGGCTTGACGGTGCTGGCAGCGGCGGCGCCCGCGGGTGTCGTTTTTCCTTCTTGGAGGCGCTGCCATGGCCTTCGACTGTGCCCCTCTTCGAGCTCAGGGGAAACACTAGGTCCAGCTGCTCCGGACCGGATGGCGAAGACGCGTCGGCGTCATGTTCCTTCTTGAAGGCGCCATCTTGCTTGCTCGCGGTGTCCCAGATGTTGGCTTTGGTGATGTTGGGACTCATTGTTGGTTCGGCTTTGTCGGTTCGGGCTTGGTTGGTTTAGCTGTGTTGTTTCCCCCTTTTCGGGCCGAGCATCCCTTGTATGTCTGCTCCGGGTACCATGTTCATGCATGTCTGCGTTCGTGTAATGTGTTGTACCCCCGCTGTACTCATTCTACTCCTTCTATCAATGAAACGATACGCATGCTTTGTGTATTCATGAAAAAAACACGAAATCACTAATTGAGTAGTATTCCTTCGAAAGATCACTTCCACCTTCCCAGGTTGCGACAAGTGGCACACTGCATATGCGCCACTTGTCGCAACATGGGAGTTTTCACCTTTTCCGTAGATTCATTTATTCAAAACATTTTTATCTCTTAAATCGTGCGTTCAAATCTCAAACCGTTTTCACCATTGAATTCGTCGCGTAGTGACCTTCAAAACTAGATCCCATGAAGATAGGTGTTGGCGAACTTTTATTCACGAAAAAATCCGAAAGAGAAAATCACACCGGGAGCACGTCTTTTTTGCACTTTCCGGAAACCATTTCCGAGAGCCAAAGCCGTGCCTCTCACAGAAGCAAACCCGTTCCTCCCGCGGAAGCAAAATCATGCCTCTCTTGCAGAAAAAAATGAAAACACTTTTTTTCCGTTTCTAAGAGGCACGACCATGCCTCTCACGAAAGCAAAACCGTGTCTTTGCGAAAGCAAAAGCGTGCCTCTCGTAGATGAGAAAAACATTTTTTTTTCGTTTCCGAGAGGCAAGGCTGTGCCTTTCGAGGAAGCAAAACCGAGCCTCTCACGGAAGATTCTTTTTTCCGTTTTCGAGAGCCAAGGCCGTGCCTCTCGCGGAAGCAAACTCATGATTCCCGCGGAAACAAAACCATGCCTCTCGTGGAAGGAAAAAAAACAAAACACATTATTTTCCGTTTCCGAGAGGCACGACCATGCCACTCAAGGAATCAAAACCGTTCCTCGCAAAAGCAAAATCGTGCCTCTCGCAGATGAAAACAAACATTTTTTCCGTTTCCGAGAGGCAAGGCAGTGCTTCTCGCGGAAGCAAAACCGTGCCTCTCGTGAAAGAGAAAAAAAGAAATACATGTTCTCTCGTGAAAGCAAACCTCTCGCGGAAGGAAAAAAAGAAAAAAAACATTTTCTTTTTCGTTTTTGATAGGCATGGTCCTCTCGCGAAAGAAAACAAATATGTTTTTTCGTGAATTTTTTTTGTCGAAAAGCCCCATAAAAGAAAAAAACCATCCAAAAAGCTGAAAACATGTGTGAAAAAATAAAAAATAAAATCCGGAGGGAGCTCTCATAGCGTAACACGTGGCAGCGGCAGAGAGCCCACGACTCAGCCCATCCCCAGGTGACCCTTGGGAAGGCTGGAAAGGAGCACTCGTCAACTAGTTGCTCTCTAGTTCATCCCGTTTGTCATTTGTCGGGGCAACCCGGGCCCACAATGCAAACCCCTTCTGGGCCAGATGTGTTTCCCGGCATTTCCTATTTGGCGCTACAGGCGCCCGTTAGTGTGTCAAGGTCCAGATGGCAGATGGGATCGAACCCGTGACCCATTCACTGCGAGGATTATACACTAACCATCACGTCAAGGTCCAGCTTCTGCACTTAAACTTCCGTTCCTTCATTTATTTAGTTCTTAAGTTCGTTTTGTTCTTTTATCTTTTTCTGTTCATTTTTTTGTTTTCTTTAATGCGTGAATTTTTCTCAACTTTCGTGAACTTTTTTTCCTAAATTGATGAACTTTTCAAATTAGAATATATTTTTAAGAAGTTGATGAACTTTTTTTACAAATTTGATGATTTTTTTCCAAATATGATGAACTTTTTTCAATTTTGATGAACTTTTTTCAAAATCGATGGACTTTTTTCCAAATTTGATGAACTCTTTTTTTAAAATCGATGAACTTTTTTTGAATTGGATGAACTTTCTTCGAA